GTGTATATATATATATATATATATATATATATATATATATTGAGCTTTTCCCCCTGCCCGGCCACTCACCCACCCCGCCAGTCCAGCAGAAGTAAATATGTGGACACGGGCCTGCATGCATATTGGATGTGTGTAAGTGAGCTCACCTCCTTTCATCCCCGTTCCTTCCTCCACCCCTCCTCCTGAATCCCAGCCCACCCCCATTTCTCTTCATTTGGTTACTCCCATCACCTCCATATATATATGCAAGTATGTATATGCGTGTGCGCCCCTATTCACGGCTGGGCACTGCTGCTAATGTTTGGATGCTCCCCCCTCTCCTCTCTTCCTTTTTTTTTATTCTCGTCCTTGCCTTTTTGTCGTTGTTGCCATCTTCCTCCTCGGACACATCTTGCACTTCTGTTTTTCTCCTGGGAAGGAAGGAGGGAGGGGGGAAAAGGGGAGGGGGGAGGTGTGTGTGCGTGTATCGCCCTCTGTTTCCTTCCGCTTGTTTCTTCATCTCCCTCTCCTCAGTGCATCCTAGTCCGTTCCTTTCGTGTTTCTAGTGGTAATTTTTAAACTTTTTTTGTTTCTTTTGTTTCTTTTTTTTTTGGGTTTTCTGCCTTCTTTCTTTCTTCCTTCTTCCCCCTTTCTGTTCCTCCTCACTTTCCACACGCACACACACACCTCTTCCTCTTCCTTACCTGCATTGGTCACCACCCCTCACCACTCCTTTTCTTCCGCTCTGTTCATTCTTTTCCTGTTTCTTTTTTTTTTCTCTTTTTCTTGCCCTCTCATTTTCTTTTCCTCTGCGTTCCTTTCAGGGGCGGGGGTAGGAAGCGGGTCGTCTCCCTTGCTGCCCCCCACACACACACACACACACACACACACACACACGCACTCACGCAACCCCCTTGCCGGAGTGCAGCTCCCCCCTTCCCCCACCCCCTCTCTCCATCATTGTGCGGTCGTTTCCGCAGGTTCCGTGGCTGCCGTCGCCGCCTACTGCTCCCTCGCTGCGGGTTACGAGGCGTAGAGTTCAGGGTCAATCTCGCCCGGAATTGGATTGATCGTCGTGTCGAGCTCCTTTTCGATGCGGTAGACGTTGTAGCGGTCGTCGTACGTCACAAAGTTGATCGCAAGACCCAAGTGACCAAAGCGGCCGGAGCGGCCGATACGGTGCAGGTACGTCTCGGCATACTTGGGGAAGTCAAAGTTAATCACAACGTTGACCGCCTGAATGTCAATACCGCGAGTGATGAGGTCGGAGCAGACAAGGTTGCGGCAATGGCCCTCACGGAAGTCGTGAAAGACGCGGTTACGGTGTTGCTGCTGCATGCGGGCATGAATGTAGTAACAGCTATAGCCGAGCTGGGTGATCTTCTTCGCCAGCAGCTCCACTCGGTTAACGCTATTGCAGAAGATTATAGACTGGTTGATTTGCAGGCGGTTAAAAAGTGTGTTCAGGCAATGAATTTTCTGCCGCTCCTCCACAAAGACGTAGTACTGTGTCACACCTCGCAGGGTGAGTTCCTCCATGAGGTTGATCTCGTAGGGGTTGCGCAGGTAGCGGTCGGCAAAGTCCTTCACCGTCACAGGAAAGGTGGCAGAAAACAAAAGGGACTGTCGGTCCGGGGGGAGGTAGGTATAGAGCTCCCCCATCAATTCGGTGAACTCCTGTGACAAGAGTTTGTCCGCTTCGTCAAGCACAATAATGCGGCAGCGGTCCAGCTTTGCGGTGCCTTTGCTCGCAAGATCCACCACACGACCTGGTGTCGCCACAAGCACATGAACAGGGTTCTGAAGACGCAAGATGTCATCACGCAGGGTGGTTCCACCGGTTGTGACCATCACCTCGAGTCCCGCAATGTGTTTCCCAAGCTCCTTGGTGACTTGCGCCGTCTGAAGTGCCAACTCACGCGTTGGAACCATCAAAAGGGCTTGCACATGCGACTCTCGCGTGTCCACCTTCTCCAGCACAGGAATGACAAAGGAAGCCGTCTTCCCCGTACCGTTCTTGGCACGTGCTAGCACATCTTTGCCTTGTAGTGCGACAGGGATTGCCTCTTCCTGCACAGGGCTCGGGCGCTCAAACCCCTTTTCAAAAATGCCCATCTGCAGCTCACGCCGCAATCCGTACTCTTCAAAGGTGACATTGCGCCGAGACTCAACATCCTCTGTCTTTTTGCGTGTATCCTTCTTGGGCGCAATGAGGTTCTTCTTCCAGTCTTCTTCGACAGGCATTCCTTCTCCCTTTCCGTTCCTTTTTTTTTGGATGTACCTTTAGGCTGCTGATGGTGTCCCTTCGTTCCGATGAAAGTGGGCGATGTCCGTTTCCCTTCGTGTTGTGACGATTTTCTCTTTTTTTCCCCACTCTCTTTCCTTTTTTATCTCTGTGTCTTTCTTTGTGGCAGTCCGTCTGGTTGTCTCGCTGCCTGTCGCGTGTATGTGTGGGCGGTTTTTTTTTATTCCCCTTTTTTTTTATTTTGCGGTTCCTGCAAGTATGTGTGTGTGTGTGTGTGTGTGAGAGAGAGAGAGAGAGAGTGAAGGTATCAAAGCGCAGTGAATTGAAGCGGACACCGGCAAACCACAAAACAGCCACAACGAGAAACAACATAAAAAATAAAATACGTGGATAAATATCGCCATCGCTGCCCGCTATATTTTGCGATTGCTATTTTTCTTTTGCTGGACCCCTTTATTTACCCTCTCCATCTCCGTCCTCTCACTTCCCCACGTACCTCGGCGGCCGCTTCTCCGCAAATGCCCGCAGACCCTCCAGACGGTCCTCCGTCGCCAGCACCACCTCGTACTGCGCAGTTTCGCACGCCATGGCCTCGTCACGCGGCCGCCCATACCCACCACGCACCGCCGCCTTCGCTGCCGCCAACGCCACCGGCCCGTTGCGGGCAATACGTCGTGCCAGCTCTAACGCCGCCGCGAACGCCTCACCGTTGGGCGCGACCTCGTTGACGAGGCCAAGCTGCAGCGCTCGCTCGGCCGTCAGCTGTTCCGCAGTCAAAATAAAATGCAGCGCGCGGCTAAGGCCCATCGCCAGCGGGGCACGGTACGTCCCGCCGGCGCCAGGAATAACCGCAAGACCCGTCTCCGGTAGCGCAAACTGCGCCGCGGCTCCGGCCACACGCATGTCAGCGCAGAGCGCCAGTTCGCAGCCACCGCCGAGAGCATTCCCCTCTACCGCGGCAATGGTGGGCATCGGTAGATCCTCAAATGCGGTAAACGTGTCGCGGAGGTCCTGCACAAACGCGCGGGACGCCTCCACCGACATTGTGCGACGTTCTTTCAAGTCCGAACCGGCGCAGAAGATACCGTCAACTTGGCTCTCAACCACAAGGCAGTGGATGGCGTTTGCCGGATCGCTGCACATGCGGATGCACTCGCGTAGTTCGCGGAGAAGTATCTGGCCGATCGCGTTTTTGCGGGAGGGGCGGTTAAGCGCAAGCACGCCAACGTGGTCAGCCATCCGTGTGAGACGACACTCACCGTCAGCGAGGAGGTGTGCCGCCGCCGTGCGAAGCCACGTGTTACGCCGCATTGGTGCACCCCTGGAACGGCAACCGAAGAAATACGCAACTATACGAGTGTATCTCGTGTTGTTGTTGTTGTTGTTGTTGTTGTTATATTCTCTTTTTCCCACGTGCTTCAGTCCCCCTTCGTCCGTGTAGAGTGCACAGGTGACCTCGTTACTGTCGCCAGAGAAATAAAGAAGTATATTTTAATTTACTTGTTTATGTATACATGTATGTGCTGTGGCACAGAGGGAGGCAAGAGAAGGGAAGCGACGGAGCGAGAAGAGAGGAAAAGAAGGGGAGGAAAAAAAAAGACAACCGAGGCTCAGCGGCGCTACCCCCATTCTCCTTCTCCGCAGTTCCCTCACCCCCCCCCCCCCCCCTTACCAGAAGCGTGCCACCGACACGCACTTTCGTATTGCATCAAGTGGTCGCAAAGCGCATAAGAAAATACTCATCACAAGTTATGAATCAGGTGACGGGAGGAGGGAGCGCCGTCACACACCCCCTCCCCCTCCCCCTCCGCTTCCCTAACATTTCTTTATCCCACTGTTTTCATGGCTGTGTCCCTCCCTTTTCACGTCGTTACCCAGCGACTCTCTCTCATACGCGCGTCATGGACGCGGCAGCAGCAAGAGGAGGAGGAGGAGCACACACACCCTTCATGAAGTCCACGGAAAACGCACCCATCTCGAGGCGTGCGGCGTCGAGAAAGACGTCAATGTGGTACTTACCCGCTTTACGCTTCAGCACCGGGCCCTCCACCCGCACTGCCATAGACCCGTCCGCATTGAGCTTCCCCGGCTGCTTCACAAAGAGTGGGTGGCGCTGCCCCAGCGAGATGTGCACACCGAACTGGCGCTCAAACGCCGTCACGTCACTGACAACGCGGCTCCTGCCCACGTGCGGGCTAAGGCCAATACCGAGCTCTCGCACGTAGCACGCACCCTCCGCCTGCCGCACCAAACCGATTAGTTCCACAAGTTCCGCTGGTGCATTTGGTCCAATGTCCGTGACAATGCCCTTCTCGATGTGCATTTTCACCGGCTGTGGCTCCGACATGGTAACTTCCTTAAAGAGGCTCGGGTAGGCGAAGACGGAGCAAGTGCCATTCAGTTTGCTCAAATCAAAGGACTCACTGATGACTTCCCCAACCGGGAATGTCCCGCCAATGCTGCTGCCAACGCATGCCCCGCAGTCGTGACCGCCACGGCGCACGCCATCTTCGTTTCCATTCGAAGGGGAAGACGTGCGCCCGGCCACATGTCGTTTTCCTGTGAGTTTTAACATTGCTAAGTACTCCTTCTTTTTTAGGCGGCCTCGTTTCTCCGCCTCGCCGTCCCCAGATAGGAGTGCCATGTTTCTCTCCCCTTCACCTCCCTCCTTTGCCGTCTCATCCGCGCCACACTCAGGGAAGCGCTGACGGTGACGTCGCACACAATTACGCTCCTCGGTGTGGGCGGCGGCGTAGTACCCGGTGTTTAGCAAACAGTCCTCCAACCCACCCTCAAAACTCAACACCTCACCGTCGTGGCAGATGATGCGCAGTGGAGCCCCTGGACCGCTAATCCTCAACGACGCGGCAAAGCCATCCGCCGCGGCGCTCCTCGTGTTCGCGGCGCTGGAACTTCCCTCCCACTGCAGCACACCCGCGTTGTAGACGGACAACAAGCCAGCGTTGAACAGTGATTCATAGAATGATGCAGGCGGCACCACATCCACTGGGACGCCCTCGCCTCCATCCGCAGCAACGGTTTTCCTCTTCCAGCTCCACGCATCAATGGAGTCGGCAATGGCGCGCCCAATCGACTCCGCCACATGCGGCTGCAAGGAACACGACTGCATATAGTATATAATTTCATCATCTTCCAAGCATCTTTCTCTGCTTCCACCGTCCTTCCCGCTAGCAAGTGCATCCGCGGTGCGGCTCATACACTCCAGGTGGTTATGTTCAGCCACGCGGAGTCCCATGTTGAAGAGGTCTAGTCGCAGACGATACTTTTCCAGTTCATTCTGAAAGGCGTGACGCTGAATAAGTATGCAACCTAGTAACTCACGTGACGGTCCCGCAGGCAGCACGCAAAGAAGGGTATTCCTCCACTGTTCACAATCACCCGTGTCCTCGCCAGTGAGCCCATCCGCAGCGGCGTAAGGTGACAAGAGAGGCGCCAAGGAATCAAAGGCACTTTTCATTTTCTCTTGAGACCAACGTCCACCGGTGATTCCGTCCCCCGCAGCAACGGAGGGACCACACTGACGCAGAAACGCCTGTAGAGTCCGCACCTCCTCCAGGAAAGACGCTGCGCGGAAGGGCAATACCCCGTATGTCACCTTCCAGTCCTTGTCCAACCCGGCACTGTAGCAGGGCGTTGAGGCGGAGGGGTCGAGGTCGACACGGAGCGTGTCGCCTCCTTGATCAGACGACACCCCGTTGGCGAGATCGAGCTCCTGCAGGTAACCCTCAAGAAGAACTTTCTGCAGAGTACATGGCGATTGGTCGACCACAAAAAGCACATGGGGAACGGCGCCTCGGAAGGCAGCGAGACGGAGACTTTCCCACAATATCGTCCGTGCGCAGGCGCGTGCGGCCAACACCGCAGCTGACATGCTGAGGGTGGTGGTGGTGGATGTTAAGGGACTAAGTTAAAGTTCAACGGCTTCCTTCGCTTGCGTGTCGAGCGTGGTGAGCAACGTTCAACTTTCCCAAGGCCAAACCAACCCAATGCAAGGGGCAGGGGCAGACATAGAACAAACAAACAAACAAAGAAACAAAAAATAGAGCGTTGTATCCGGGAAGAAATACAAATAAGATAGAGAAGCGTAAAGCAGAAAATATATGCCATGCATGCAGGAAATAAAAATACAAACAACTCTCAAAGTCAAAAGAATCACCCCCTCCCCTCTCAAGGCAAAAAAAAAAAAAGATATATATATAAAAGACTGAGGGAGCCACCAACACGCAGCCTGTCAGCCAGCCAGAACACCCACGTATGTGCACTGCATGCATCAATCGGCACCAAACAACAACACCAACGACTCAAAGTACCCTGCTTACCAGAAGCTCCACCAGAACGGGTAGTGGCCTGCAATGTCATACGGCAACGCGTGTGACTTTTGCAGTGCTTTTGCCCGTCTATAGAAATAACGATGTGAGATGGGCAAACCGCTGCCCATATCGCCCCCTACAGCGCGTCTTGCAAGCACCACCACGTTGGCGGAGGCAGGAACGGGGATCTGAAAAACATTGCCACGGCCAAACACCCGGCGGCATGTGTCTGTAAACTCGGGATCTGGTGCCGGCAGGTTAAACGCCGCCACACCCACAGATGACAACACCTCATGACACAGCTGCAGGAACGACGGCGAGAAAAGGAACGCGGGGGGTTCGCTGCCCACAAAAATATCCACAAAAAGAAGATCATAACGCCGAGCGTGTTGTCGACCCTCGACGCGCGCAGCGACTTCGCTTGCGGGCAGCGGGGACGCGCCGGAGAGAAAGACGGGGGCAGCGGCCCCACTTGGCCCCACGACGGCATCCTTCAGGAATGCGGCAGCGTCGGATACGTGGCACGACATCACCCCCCCTCGCATTGTCTCACGCAGGCCGAGGTCCTCCACCGCCGCCCGGAAACACTGCGGCTCTGCGTCGACCAGGTCAAGCCGCATCATGTCCCGTGAAAAGTAGCGCTGCAAAAAAGACGGAAGAGAGCCACCGCCGACGCCAAGCACTGCCACTCGCAATCGTGGCAGCGGCAAAGGCAAGAGAAGAAAAGCGCTCAGCATGGTGCGAAGGTACGGCGCCCCCAAATAGCTCGCATCTCCAGCACAGTTGATGGCGGGTGACGCAAAGGGGTCGCAGCGAATAAGCGACTGGTGCGTTGCCCTATCCGCCAAGCGGCGCAGCGCGCCAACAGGCTCACTTGCAAGTGAGAGCACAGCAGACGTTGGCTCAATAGTCATGGCCGCATACTTCGCCGTACCTGGCGGCCACGTCGACGAGGCCAGAAGCGAAGTCATCTTTGCGGGGGTGGAGGAATCGGAGGCCGGTGGCAGCGGCGGCGGCCCCCACGCATCCCCAACCATCTCGCGCACCGCATGCAACTGGTTTTCATCCTCCAAAGGATCCCCGCGATCTACGACAGTGTGCGTTTCGTTTGAAAACAAGTCACGCAGCCGTGTGAACGACGTTGCCCCGCCGCTGCTGCCACGGGTAGGCGCATCAGCCGCAGAAGCGCGGGCGTAGTAGTTCGACACCACCACAGCGTAGCCAGGGAAGGCCTGGCAGGGGTAGCGGGCGTGCTCCTCCACTCGCGCCACGGCGCTGTTGTCAAACAGTGGCACGGCGGGTTCTCGCCGTTCCCGACGCTGCCGCCGCATCTCTGCATCAAAGCAGCCGCTCAACGCACACAGGCCTGCCGCCGCCGCGAGGAGCCTACACGTACGCCTATTCAGCGGCTTGAAGAAGCGTGACATGCCCCACAGAGGCGACAATGATAATGATAATAATAAAAAAGGACGTCGTTGTGTGTGTGTGTGTGTGTGTGTGTGTATGCAGACGTCAAATTCAACTAACGAAAAAAAAAAAACACGGAAAAAAAATAATAAAAGAAAAACAGTTGAAAAAGAAGTCTGCAGCGCGTCAACTAAAAGAAGTGGGCGGCACTGCAGCAAGCGACATACAATGCGGCAACACAAAAACAGAATACTATCCTTCATTGCAGGTATTCAAAGACAAATGGTGCCGCGCCCGGGGGCAACGACAGACAACAACGCGTTGAGAAGGGGTGAAGCGCCGCGGCATCCACCCAAGAAGACAAACACACACAGACACATACAACGTAAGAAAGAAGAAAAAAGAGGTGTGTGTGTGTGGTGTGGGGGGGGGAGGAGAGAGAGAGAAAGTGGCGGTTGATTTACATTACTGACACACAGACTCGTTCTAAGGGAGAAGAGAGACAAGAACGCGCCCAGAGACGCGGCGCCCACACGCACGAGCCGAGTAACCTCTCGTTTTCTCTCTGCCTCCCTCCTGTGTGGCCAGGTAATAAGCGCGCCAGCGCAGAGGCGCAAAGCGCAACCTACTCGCCAAAGAGAGGCGGCATCACACATCCTTGTCTTTCACCGGGGTTACCTCCTCGCCACGCACACGCTGAACAATACGGTAATGCAGCTTGGAGTAAACAGCCATAATCAGCCGCAACCACCCTGCAAAGAGGAACTGAAAGAGGAGCTCTAATAAACTCGTGGCGGGCTCGATCCCAGCGGAGCCCAAACTCAGCAGCACCGCATCGCTTCCCAGGACCACGTCAAAGCGATACCGCTTAATATTTTTTACGATACACCGGCCCATGGCCTCTGCAGTGTAGGGGACATTGCCGCCAAAGGACGAAATTGCCTTACACTCAGGACTCTTGCGGAGGTTTTCACTATGCAGCCCCGGCGTCTCGATGTCCGGCGGGCACACAACCTGAAATCGCACCCCCAAACAACTGTTCTCCATGTCAAGACTGTGAGCAAAGGCACGAACAGCGGCCTTGGAGGCTGCGTAGGACGAATAACCGGCAATGGCACAGCGGGAAGCCAAACTGCTCACCAGCACAATGCGACCACGACGCCGTTGCAGCATTGCCGGCAACACTGCCCGCACCACATGGACACAACCAAAGTAGTTTACTTCCAACATACGGCGGACGTCGTCGGCGGAGGTTTCAAGAAAGCGCAATGGAATGGAGAAGCCAGCGTTGCACACCACAAGGTCAAGCCCGGCACCCCCCGTCATCGTCGCCTCAACCTCATTCACGGCGCGTGCCACCGACGCCTCATCGCTCACGTCCATCTCCACGTAAAACACCTGCGTGCCGTCCTTCCCGGCCTCCGCCCGGAGCTCCGCTACTGCAGCCCGCAACACATCCGTCCGACGCGCCGATACGACGACGACTTTCGCACCCTGACGGACTAACTGACGAGCAGTCTCCAAACCAATACCTGTGCTTCCGCCAGTCACCAACGCGTGGCAGTCGGCTATGTTGAAGGGCGGCACCCGTTGCACACTCCAAGCCGCCGCCACTAGTACGGCTGCAGCCACGACGAGTCCGCCGGCGGCAAAAACGAGGAACATCATTGTGTCGCACAGTAAACACTTATTGAGTGCAAAAGTACAAACACACGCACGCACCAGAAAGAAAGAAAGAAAGAAAGACAACGTAATAAATTGAAAAGGAAGCAACTCCCCTTTCCCCAATACAAAACAAAAAAAAAGCAATAGAAAAAGCGCGTCTCTCAGCTCTTCCAGCGGGCGAAATCCCTTTGTTGTTATTACACAAATGCCATAAGTACCCTGTACACTTTATTTCCCATCCTTTACTTTAGATTGTATTGTGTGAAGTGTACGTTGTTGCCGGCGAGCGTTTGGTGGCGCAAACACTGAGGCGCTGATGCGGGCACTGCGATGTCCGAGGGTCGCAGCAGCACCTTTCACACATTCAAATAAGGGACCATGGACGCGTGTAGGCAGACCCTCTCCCCTTAGTCACACCCAACACCCACCCATTCTATTTGCATGTATAAGCCATACGCTATTGCCGCCACAGAGAGTGCAATAATGGCACGTATACGTGCAAGATGGCAAACGCATGCATGCAGCTGTGCTTGTCTGTGCGTTGCAGACAACACCCACCACGCACACAATATATACATATATCAAATATACACATGTATACAAAATAAACGATGCCCCATGCTCAGGTACAAATTGGCATATACCAGACGCGATTTCAACAAGTAGCCCCTCCCCCCCCCCTCCCCTACAAAAAAAAAAAAAAAAAACAAACTTTGTGCGCTTTTATATGTATTATTACAGACAAAACATACGCACATACTTCCTACACCTATAAGATATATATATATATATATCCCTTTCTTCTATTCTTTGGCAATATGAAAACGGTACAAATGGTTTTGCAAGTGATGACCTTTCAGGGGGAGCCCATTGCGGTAGTTGGGAAGTGACGGGAGGAGGTAGGACACCACGAGAGCGAAATACGGTGAACATATATATATATATTAGTCGCTCGCAGTGTTACTTCACCTCAGCTCCCCAATCAACTGCCAACACAAACCAACTCCAAAACGGTGTGCGTCTGTGTGTCTCTCTTCTTTGGAGAAAGAAACTCCTTCTATCCCTCCATTGCAGCCCGCACATCGAACAACAACAGATATTAGGCGACCACCAACTTTCAACAGCGTCACTTTCATTCGTAACTACGGCGCCGAACTTTCCCCATGGCTCCCATGTGGCTGCCGTTTCTTTGCATTCACATATTTCTCACTTACTCTCAGAGACAGTTAACCATATTTTCTTTTTTGATACTCTCCCTTCTCTTCTCAGTTATCATTCTTGTTGCGCCAACTCATTCCTTTAATCACCTAAGAGGCATCACCTCGTTTTATTTACTGCTTTAGATTGGGTTGATTGATTGTTTTTTCCCTATCGAGGCCCAGTTGCCCCCACCCACCCACAGGCATAAAACCCGCATCTGTCCTTTTATCCAGCGCTGCGTCTGCTCCGACGGCCATGCCGACTCATCCACACATATATATGTATATATGTATATATATATATATATATTATACACATACGTATATATGAGTGAGGCTGTGAGCCCGTGACAAGATGCGTGCATGTGCCGAAAGGAGGACACACGAGGTCCCGTACAAGCTGAAAATCATGCTGTTCATGACAGTAGTTGTACGGACAGTAGCACAACAAGAAGTGGGTGGGCAGTAATCATACGCAGCGTCGCCACGCACAAACACACGCAATATGACACGTCCATACGTGCACCCAGAGGGGCAGATGCTACGCATCAGGTTCAGTGTGGCCAATGTAAAGCTAGAAAAAAAAAAAAAAACATACTGCCGTTTGCAGCGTTGCCGCGATGAGAAATAATGCAGGAGGGGAGTAAAAACCAAAAACAAAAAAAAAAAAAACAGCAACTAAGAACTAAAAACCAAAAAAAAAAAAAAGACCTAAATCCACAAAGGAAAGACACGAAAGAAACGAGTAGGTAAAACTACATATGCATATATACTCAGATATCCCCGTCACGTTTCCGCCCCCGTTGGGGCATGCATTTTACTGTGGTAGCAGCTTATGAGGTTTTCGGTGCCGAATATGCACCAGCTTCGCTAACTCGCTCATAACGTCCAGTGTTAACTGAAGATCCTCACGAGTATGTGAGGCGGAAACGCAGAAACGCACGCGCCCCCCGAGAAGTGGCGTGGCCGGGTACCCGACGATGACAATAGCCAGGCCACGCTGCATGCATTCCCGCGCCATTACCGCCAGCTTGCCCGTGTGATACAACATAACGGGGACCACTGGTGAAGCGTCGTTCCCAAGCACCGTAAAGCCTTGGGCAATGAGGCCCTGTCTCAAAAACTGAGAGTTCTCCTTCAGCTGATGAATGCGTTTTCGGCCAATATCAGTTCCATCACGGCCAACAATGACTTCAAGGGCGGCCAACACCTGCTGCGCGCAGGGAGGGGCAAGCGTGTCACAGTGCAGGGCGATAGAACTGTGGGTGCGCAAGTAGTCAATCACGCTCTGCTCTCCCGCCAGGTAACCACCAATGGAGCCGAAGCTCTTTGTGAAGGTGCCCATGAGAATATCCACGTCCTTAGTGTTGACGCCATAGTGCTCCGTCACGCCACGGCCAGTACGGCCAATCGCACCAATGGAGTGTGCCTCATCCACGAACAGCAGGGCCCCATACTTCTTCTTGAGAGCCACAATTCGCGGCAGATCGACGATTTCGCCCTCCATACTGTAAATACCCTCCACAATGATGAGGATTCGGGTCCACGGCACATACTCCCCATTGGGGTTCTGCCCAAGCACCACCGCCTCCCGCAAAATGGTTTCCAGTTGCCGAAATTGGTTATGCTTGAACACCTTTAAGCGTGCGCCGGACATGCGCATGCCGTTCACCAGTGACGAGTGGTTCAGATTGTCGGAGACAACCAATGAGTCCTTCCCAAAGAGAGCGGGAAGGCCACAAAAATTTGTTCCGAACCCCATGCCACAGACAATAGCATCATCCTTGCCAAGAAAATCAGCAAAGGCACGCTCAAGCGTTGCGATGGGATTGTGTTGTCCCGCCATCTGCTGTGGACTGCACGATGCAATGCCGTACCGGTCTATACTGTCCAGCACCTGACGCGTAATGCTTGAAACATCCGACGCAAAGCCAAGGTAGTTGTAGGAAGAGAGGTTCACACAGGGAATAATATTTCCGGTTAGCGAAAAAGTGCGGTTGCCGTCGTGCGAAACGCGCTCCATGACACCAATGACGCGTGACGGGCGGGAATCAATCGGGTAGTTAAAACAGTCGCAGACACGACGATAAATGTGCCTTTGCCAGTATCCGTCAAAACTCCTCATCAACGGTGCGTATCCCTCACGGTCCTCCTTCCTCTGAAAAAGCCAATAGTACAACTCATAAAAGAGAGAAAACAGGACGAGCAAGCCAAACGATAAAAACAGAGTGATCTTGGCAAGAAGCGGGCACTCCTCCACTCCCTTGTCGTCCTGCTCCTTCTCCTGCAGCTGTTCTGCTTTTTGTGTGGCCGTCACGGGTTCCTCCTCCTGGCGTACATCATCCGTCTTGTTGAGTGAACGGTCAGGCACCACGACACTCTGCTTGTTGTACGCCTTCACGTGGGACTCTAACAATATGGCGGCCTTGGCCTCCAGAAGCTCCACGTTATCCCTTGCCTCAACAGGGCTCTCCGCCGGCACGTATGAAGGCATTTCAAGCAATAATAATAAGGCAAGCAGAAGTCAAGGAATAGTTCCTCTCCCCCACCCCTTCTTGTGCGTATGTGTGTGCTGCTTGGTAATGTTTACTATCTTCTGCAGAAACCCAACCAGCTATGAAGAATGCAGCCGGACGCAGCCGCAGCATCAGGAAGGAGAAAAGGAAGCAATAACAACTGATAAAAACGGAATACATCAGTTGCCCACACGTCACTCACTCCCCACCTTCACATAAATAAGAGAGGAGATTATCAAACTTAGATGGGACTGGCACACGGCGGGCTGGAGAGGCACCATCCAATTTGAACTGCCGCTCTTCTTTTACTTATTTTTTTTTACCTTTCCACTCCCCACTTTTTTTGTTTCCCCTCGTTTTTTCTTTTTTTAAATGTTGTCCTCCGCTACCGCACACAAGATGGTGGACGAGTGCCGGACTCGTACGCCGCCGACAGGGCGCTCAAGTCCATGCCAGAAAGCCAGCGCCCCTGCAGGCGATCATACGACCAGCGAAGAAACATGTCATCCACACAACCGCAGTACCCCTTAGGGCGTTTCGTGCCGCAGTGGCACAAGACAGCCGCTTCAGCGTGACTTCGCGGCTCAGGTCGGATATGAAGGGCGGGAATGGGCAGCATGAGTTCGCGGCAAGCGGCGGAGTCCGGCAACATTGTAACACAGTTTCCAATGCAACGCGGGGCACCCTCAGCCAACAACCATTCCACCACCTCCGTCTTTCCTATCGTCATCGCTGCATGCAACGGGGTGCGACCCCAGCGATCGTAGACGTGAATGCTGCCTCCAAATTCACGCAACAGTGACATGACATCCAACCTTCCTACGATGACGGCAATGAACATTGGACTGTAGCCATGCTGCATTTGATTCACAGCAACATCAGGATCGCTAAGAAAGCTCATATTATTCGGATCTGCCCCAAGCTCCAGGCAGCGCCGCGCAGTTTCGACGCTTCCAGTAACGACAGCCAACATTAGGTGGGTGGCTCCTCGGTACAACGCATCCTTCGTCTTGCCGCAGAGATCTGGGCAAAGTTCCTCAAAGAACCTCGCAACGGACCTTATGGGCTCCGCAATGCCATTTTGGGTCCCTGTCGCACTCGTATTGTTGCTACTGGCACTGTTGTTTCGGCTACTGTTGATACTGGTGAGCTTGGCAAGGCTTTCCATGATGCTCTGTGCACACATCTCCTGGGGGATTGCGGTGATCCCTCGCATAGGGCTGAAGGCACTCCACGGAATGGCAGGGGCGGTGCAAAAGGAGCGCAAAAGGTGCTGGTCGGGGTAGTCGTAGTCAGTGAGACTAAAAATGCGATTGTGGTCCATTTCAACACTTCCCCAGTCAGAGATTTTGCTCTCGAGGGCTCCACGCAGCTCCTCAGTGGGGGACGCGTTGCGAGACCGCGGCATGCCGAGGAGAGGAAAAACACCACTGAGTGACGTACGGTCCTTGGTTATTATTGTGTGTTTCTTGCGGTGGATTTAGGCGCGTGTGTTGCGAGAAGGGGAGGGGAAGGGACAATAATAAACAAGAAAAGAACAACGGAAGTCAAACGTCTGCTCAGTGAAGAGAGAACGTGGCGGCAAGAAATCCCCCTCCCCTTCCCCCAAAGAATCAGTGAGTCTGTACAAAGGCAACACATACACAAAAAGAAAAAAAGGAAAAAAAATAGCTTAACCATCTAAGGCGATACATCTAGCCTCAAGCACAGACGCCCAAACACCGTACATGCATGCATGCAGTGACGCTGTAGCACCCCCTCACACACTTTAAAGGAGAAGGGGGATGAAACAATAACGACACCTCAAAGACCCATACGCTGAGTAAGTAGAGGGCGGGGAGCACAACATGATCAGTGGGATTGATTTAAACTCTAAATTTTGTCTGACATTGGCATGGAAGCCGTGGTGGCAGCTGCGGGGGGCTCTACAGCGGCAGTGGCAGAGCCTCCCTGGTTTCCATTTGTGGAGCGACGGAGAATCTCGTTCTTCAATTCCCCGTAACGCGTGTACTCCGCCATCCACACATGTCGGTCACTTTTCGTCGATGGACGACCATTACTCTTCTCAAAGTTGCTCTCAAAAAGATGAAGGATGTGTTTCAAGTAACGCTTCTCCGTTACAAGCTCTTCATCTGACATCTGACTCGCTGGTTTTCCTTTGCTAATATTCCGTGCGGGGGACGCCTGGTGCGACACGTTGACAGAAGACCTCACGGAAGCCGGTGCTGTAAACCTTGCGCCACCACCGCTTTCCAGTTGGCTGCTGGCAGCATAAGAGCTTTGCATCCCAACAGATCCACCCCTCTCCTCTCCATTAGCGTCACCGCTACGCACACCACTTTCATGCAACGGCTGCGACGGTTGCAGCTGCTGCAGTTGTTGAGGCTGTTTATCATGATGTTGTGGTTGAAGAGGCTCTGCAGAGCCCTCAACGCTTGGCCCAAAGGCGGCAGTTTGCGGCGACTCCGTCTCTCTCAATCGATTCTTCGCCGCCTTGTAAAGTTCATACACATGACGCAGTGAGACTTTATCATGCGCCGTCACGGCGACCCCGCGGTCCTCGAGGAAGGCACGCTCCCACTCGTGAATGCGCTGCTTCATCTCCCTCTTGAAGGCCTGGCACTTGCCAGGCGACATGTTGGTTATCACGGCCGGCGAGGCCCCACGCCCATTGGCCTCCCTCGTCAGCTCAAGCGACGTCGTCTCACCGCGGTAAGCTGCCCTCAGCTGAGCCGCAATGGTGTCAGAGGAGGCAGCACGAGGGCCGTAATTTTGCTCAATACGACTGCGCTGCTCACGCTGCAGGGAGCGCACCGAGTTAACGTTGGTTTTGCTGTGGGCGCGGAAGTTTTCATCAATGACGTGGGTCTGCATGAAGCTCAGCGCATCAATTATTTCTGCAGTTGTCTGAAACAACAACCCACTCACATCCATTGCCATTGCTCGTGTCTTGTTTCCCCCTCTTCCTGCCGCCGCCGAGGGTGCGGTGCGGACTTCCCTACACTCGACAAGGGGGAATAAGCTGAACGCACGTGCCCTTCGGGGCCACCTTTTGCGCGCCTGTTTCTTGTGGCTTTCTCTTCTCTACACGGGACTCCATGTTGCCATCACAGGCAGCCCCAACACACGCACGCGCGCCCAACACCAAAGAGAGAGAAAGAGAGAGAAGCGAAGAAATAGGGGCTTGTAATCACAGACATGTACCGTGGACCAATGACGACGCAAATTTTACCTCAGACGCCAACACGTTGTACAGGCATACCCCCCCCCCACCGCCTCCTCCCTCTGTCTATCCGCGCACTAACGCGTCTAGAGCGGCAGAGAGCCACGGAGTACACAAAAAAGGGAGAAGCAGACATCCACTCATTCCACGCGATCCCCCACACACACTTGACACACATTTTCCCCGCTCTCCCGCTGTCAAACCCACAGACACAAACATAGCAAGAAAGAGAGTAAAATGCTTCAAAGCAAACAGACAAACACACTCACACACACACGGGCCAAAATAAATTAATAATAATAAAAGGGATTGCGCCATGCCATACTTTAGCCATGCATGAAACAGGGGGAGGAGAAAAAAAAATGCGTCAAATGAAACACGTGGGGCGCCGCTGGCGAACCCGCAAGAACGATCACATGCGTGCGGACTGCACCACAGCGTCCGACAAGGAAGCAAACGATACTTTGGAGTGTGCCATGCACCACAGCAGAGACGAGGGACGCAGATGTGGGCCGTACCAGTTTGCCAGCTCCTCCATCTTATGCGTAAGTGCGGAAATGCCGGCTCTGTCAGCCAGCGCGAGGGCACCGCCAGTTGTCTCACGAAAACCGATCGCGGCGATCGTCAAGGTGTTTGCGTCTGTGGCACTCCGCACAGCACCCGAGAGGATCATCTCGCAACACTCGTTGACCACAACCGCAAGCAGTCGGTCCGCCACCTCAGTGTCGGATAGATGGCGAGAAAAGTACCGGTGCGGCACCTCGGCATTGAGTGCAATCGTTGTACCGTCTGCACGATACGAGAAAAATCCCCCACGACGTGAATCAACGCCCAAGTAGCCGTCGGTACTCATGGCCTGCAGCGCATGATGAGCGATAGCGGGAAGGCAATCAACCAACAGTGGATTGCCCTGTGCGTTCATATTGTTTGTCTCGTCCAGCATTCGACAAACCGTTGCCGGACCAAAGTGGTCAATCAGATGAAACGGTCCCACGAGGAGTCCAAGCACTTCCGTGGCCACGCGCTCAATGCACGCCACATCACACTGCTGAGTGAGTCGACAGGCCTCTGTCGCTAGAGCCGCAACGAGTCGCTTGGAACACGATCCACGGCACACCACATACGGGTTGTCTTGTGCCTGCAAATACGTAAGCGCTGCAGTGAGGGCGGTGTCAGACGCCTCGGCAGGACAGCTATCCTGCGAGAAGAGGCGAACTTCTTGCAGCTTTCCAAGCGCGGAGACGCGATATGGCGAGGCACAAGACACAACAACGGTGCATGGCAACATTGCGACTATCGGACGGGCAACACGCTCTTCGCCAATAAGAACCACATTGGCACGCCTCAACAGGTCTTGGCGCGCATGCACCATCTGTGCGGTGGCCGCAATGGATCGCTGTGAGCAGTCCAGCAAGACGGCCGCGCAATCATCCTTGGCGGAGGACAAGGCCTCCATTTTGTCATCCCAGTTCTGCATCTCCTCCGCACGGAAGGTCACAAGACGCCGGCTGGGCAGCAAGGGAAGCACACGGCGCTTCATTTGACGCCCCAATGCGTACACATTGGCCGCGTTAATGGCGGGGGTGGTGTGCACCACCTCACTGAAGATGCTCTCCGACTCCGTTTCCCGTGCATGCGTCTTTGCCGCAACATCGTTGGTAGCGCTCCTTCTCTGCAAGAGAGCGGACATAGCATACCGTCCCCACGCTTTCAGGAGTGGGTTAGGACTCAACATGACCGTGAATGTTTCAAAGCCTCTGGTGAAGAACAGCTTACGAAGCAGCAACCCTTTCTGTGTGGGCCGAGAAAGAAGTGCAAGCATGGCACGCTCAAGACGAAGCAGGAACGAGGGAGCCGATAGGGGTGAACTGCCGTCGAGAAGTCCAACCCCCATTACGCTCTCCACACTGTAATCATGGAACTTTGGTGCCATCTCAATAGTGCGCTGTGCACCGAAAAAATAACCCAGCCGGCGCACGGTAGCTGCTGCGGGGAAATCCCCAAGCGGAATCGACGGAAACCCAAAAGTAGCCTGAGTGGTGCCAAGCAACTCCCGGTGCGAGCACGCCAGGAACAATTCCGCTCCAAAGTCTTCAATGGCACCGCCATAAACAACGGCGACAAAACGAATTCGGTTTGACGCACTTTCCATGCGCGCAAATAGACGTCGTTTGGCCCGAAGCAGCTCCACACGCTCACCAGACGTCAACTCCAACGGGCCATGGCTGGCGTTGAAGAAGTTTAGCCCAGGGAGCGTCGTGAACCTGACTTCCACCGTTGTTCCAGCAGCTGTGTGCTGGTCGTCAATGACTGTAATGGTCTGGTGCAGCAACTTCACGAGCAACACAATATCCGTGGGCTGACGCTCCAACAGGATAGTCGCTACAGGTGCGTCATCGTTCTTAAAAGACACTTTCGCCCAAGACGTGTTTTCCTCATCTTCCGTCACACTGCCTGATTCCCATGGAGCCAACGGCGGCCGTTCCACCGGCATCGTCGTCGTCCCGTTCTCTGTTAATGGAGCTGCTGCTCCCTTTGGTGAATCTGATGAAAGCCCCTCCTGCAGTTTCGAGGCAGCCTTCATAGCGGGAGACCCTGCTTTTTCCTCAGATCCAGAAGTGTCCCTCGTGTTCGTCGCCTGTGCAACGTGGGCCTTCTCGCTGACAACATCTGGAATTTCGTGGCGCTCGATTTCCTCCGCCTCCTTCTGAAGGAGGGGTTTCAAGTTTTGCTTGTCGACAGCAACATCCGCCACGGGCCGTTCATCATAGTTCACGACATTCAGTTTAAGTTTTGCGCTCGCTTCCTGTGCGGCTTCAGGAGAACACACAAGTCGGCGCGTTGCACGAGCATGCTCGATCTCTTCATCCACTGCAAAGCCAACGCTCTTTGCCCAGAAATTCCCCTGAGTATTTTCCGTCGACGTCCGCGGCGCAATAGTAAAAAAAATGTCATCATCAACCTCCAGCGAGGCCCCAATAGAAGCTACGGGACGACTGCCACCCGCGCCACCCGCAGACGCAATGGGGGGACTCAAGGACGGCACAGTAAGTTGAGGTGGAGGCGGAGATGACGGCGGTAATGGTGCAGGAGGCGCAACTGACGGTAAGACAATGTGAGGCGGAGAAGCCGGAGTAGAGAAACGGGCCCAGCTGTCCCACGTTGAGCAAACACCAGCTTTATCTGTTCCACATCCTCAACAACCTCATCAAGAGAAAAACGTCTACTACCATCTACTCTCTTGGAAGTGGTTGGCTTCCCCATACGTTGGGAATACTCACCAGGCTTCGCTTGATGACGGTACTCACGTTCTCCGCGGCGTCTCCCATGACCACGCGTTCTAGATTCTTCAACTCCTAAGCGACTTGTCGCACGATTCAATTTCTGTGGTTCCGGTGCAGTAGGTGCAGCCCTTGGTGGTTCCGGTGCAGCAGGTGCAGCCCTTGGTGGTTCCGGTGCAGTAGGTGCAGCCCTTGGTGGTTCCGGTGCAGCAGGTGCAGCCCTTGGTGGTTCCGGTGCAGTAGGTGCAGCCCTTGGTGGTTCCGGTGCAGCAGGTGCAGCCATTCGTGGCTCATATGCCACCGAGTGTGATGATTGAAAGCTCCGCCTACCCTCATATCTCATGCATATTCGTTCCCCGACGTGCCATGTGGTTGTGGCGACCATCGTACACCAAGCCCGCCGCATCGCGTACGGTGAAACAAATGCCTTTAATATCACAAGACAGCGAATAGCAGTTGGCTAGTGCACGTGAAGCTGGTTGCCTCCTCCTCGCTACCTTTCTGCCTTTCCTCTCTTTGCCGCGAAAGGAGGTTCCACGAATACCAACTGCCAACAATACAGCCTTACTCTTCTGAAAAGAAACGAACAAAAATAAAATGCGTACAGGCGGAGTACAAGAAAGGCAGAAAAACGCATCCAGAGAGAGGAGAAAGCAAAAGGTGAGAAGGAGCCAAGAAGCGAAGCTACTCTTTTGCATGGCATGTATGCATATGCACACCTATCTTCTTTTTTTTTTGCTTGGTTCCAGTGTCTTTTGCTTGTGCCCATACTACCCTCCGCCACTAGGGACCTGGCAGATGCACTTTGACACTTCCTAGTCGTAAACTTTAATTGCTGCCTTTGAGCCCTTTGGCCCCAGCGTGCGGATAGCCTCGTAGCACCCCCACACACAAAATGGCAGAAGGGGTGAAAGGCACGCCACCGTAAGCGGTACACCGTGCATTTTATTCTGGTATTGTGTCAGGTCCACTGGATCATTTGCACGCAGGATGCTGTACGTCAGTGCGGCGATTAAAATCAGCCACAGCGGCAGAATTCTCGGCGTCAAGAACATATTTGTCTCCCCCAATCCTCTCCGTGTTATCGTGCCACGACGAGTAGTATTTGTGGCAGTGATAGCACTGCTTTTCTGCTTGGTTATGTAATGCAACACGCTTCTCCTGTATGCAGAAGCAACAAGAAGAAAAAGAGGAAGCGAGGGAGGACACAAATACACACGCAGCAGATATCGTCGGTATCGTTTGTTTGGCTTGCCACACACATTGCAGGTATCACTCCATTTTGCTCGGATGATTCACACCAAAAAAACTGTGTCCCGCTCGTGGAGGGCACTGCGAAGGCGCTCTCACACCGCCCGTCTGCGACACCGCGCCCACAACCAGTCAGCGTTCACCCCTCCCCATGTCCAGCACGTGCAGCTTCGCGGCGTTCATGGGCAAGTGAGGGGGTCACCCAAAATGCGCAAACGAGGCGGTGAGGTACAGCAGCGGTTGGCGCCACTCTCGACTGGCCCGCTGCCAGCGACGACGCTCTCCACCAAACACGTTCAGCAGGGGCCACGTAGACCCTTCATCCGGCAAGCACCAGACCAGCGGCACCGTCACAGGCTCAGATCTACCACCCAGCGCCGCAACGCCATCGGGAAGTGTCCACTCAGCGACACCAATCAACTTGTCGCTGCTGGTGTAGAGCGCGATGTAGAGCGGAGCAGTGACGGAGTAGACCCCAAGCTGGAAAGATTCATCCCAACGCGTACAGGCATTTTGGAGATCGCTAGTGACAGGCCCGCTAGGGACCACACCGGCGCGACTACGCACCTCTTGAAATCCGTTCGTAAGTGATAAGACGGCACCGCTGCTGCGAATGCAATCCACCTCACGAACAGAAATATACGCCACACCAATGTACCGCGGCGGACCATCATGAGTTAAGGCCCCGTTCTGGTCGAGACCCACATTTCTCTCTACATCTAAATCAAAAGGCGGTGACACAGCCTGTAGAACATGAGGATTACGTTCCCGCGTAAAAGCCCCATCATACTTCAAGGTGATGTACTCCTCCCGCACCTCGGGCGGGGAGAAGCTACCCATCGGTTTATAAACGGCTTTTCCACCGCCAATAAAAAAACCAGCATACTCGAGGTGGTCATTCACCACATCGTTACCATGTGTAATCATAAAATCGATGTCGGCAGCGCTCCAACTGTCTAGCTGCACCTCGCGACAGCGCTGCGGCCACAGCTGTCGGTGCACACCAACGCAGTTGATGCAAACAAAACATCCAAAAGGTCTCAGTAGAGCCCACGTGGGCCATTTTTCACCACAATCGGCACATACCTGGTTCGCCGGCTTAGGGGCGATGCAAGGCACGTAGAGTGGCGAATGCATGAGACGCTCAGGCACCTCCAGCTTCTCACCTTCGTCCACCACCGTGCAGTCGTGAGGATTCACCTCTTCGTGTTGTTCCTCATCGTTTTCTTGTATTAGCTGCCTCTGTGCCTCGTACCGGCACAAAACGTCCTCCAACTGTTCCACATCATGCATCTCCAGCGGATCGTCCCCCATCGCGTCAATGACTCTAGAAGGGCGCTGTAGCAGTCGATCAACACCGCTGCCTCCACCGGCCTCAAGCGAGCCGTCGGTTGCCGAGAATAGCATGTGCCCATTCTGCTGCTGCGAAAATGGTGGCAGCGATAACGCTGCAAGGCGCAGGTGGTAAATAATCTTCCACTTGAGCAGCTTGTCGCCTAAAAAGAAGAGTGCCACATATCCCCTGGGAAAAGTTCCCTCACCATGAAGTGAGCTGACAGAGGCTGACCTCCGTAGCGAAGTGAAAAGCCCTGTAGGCCGCACCTGCTCTATACTCGATGCGTCCGCAAGCTCCAGACCGAAGCAAAGCCGACCACGGTGCGTGCCACAGTCCACCACGCGTGAACCAAGAAGCCATAGACGCTCCCGCAGGTTCTTCGCCATGGAGTTTTTGGGCTCGTCAAAGCAGTAAAGTACGCCGTCCGTGTGGAGTTCGATTGTCCGCATAACGTTTGGTCGCCTATGCCAGCCGAACCAGCATGACACCGCCCCCGAAAGCAGCAGCGTTTCTAACGTCGCCTCTATCATTGCCCCGTGCAGGAAAGCGTGTACACGTACGTCTATGGCCAATTACGTGTGGCGGGTAAAGCGATTTACGAGGCAAAGAATGAGCCCCCGCGTCCACAAGAGGGAGTATTGTGATAAAATGGGGGGCAAAAGGAAAACGCAGAAACACGTTAGAAAAAAAAATGGACAGTCAAAAAAACAAACAAACAAACAAACAAACAAAAAGATGCTGTGAGACACGTGCAACCCCCAAAAAGCCAAAATTGCTTTAACTCATAGTAGCGGTGTTTGTTTCCCTGTTCTCATTCCTCGTGTTTCTTTTATATAATAAATAGAAAGGACCTGCGCCTGCAGCCCTATGAGGGGAATTACCCCCTCCCTGGAGAACGCAGGCGTTTACGACCTTGCAGAGACTCCTCCCCGCCTCCTGCTGGTGCGGAGGTCCCGTTCGACAACACCTCCGTCAGGATGCGCTGCAGCAACGCATCCTGCTCGGATTCCTTTTGGAGCTCTACCGCACGCCGCTCCGCCTCCATTTGGCGATACGCTTCCTCTTCCATCGCCACCGCGTAGTGACCACGACGGTCGCTATCTACAACATCAGAGATTACAAAGGGATGCAGCCCTGCATCCATTGTCATCGTCTCGGGTGGTTGATCAGCCACGGTCTCTGTGGCGTGCGTGAGAACAGTGACCGTGAACAGCGCCGCAGGCGACGATGATGACGGCAGAAGAATGTATACGGGATTGTCTGTGCTGGGTGTACGGGGGAGCCAAACGGCCCGACTCGCGCTAAATGAAGTGCCCACTGTTAGAGGCTTCGTGGTATTGACGCTACCTGCTCCATCCACAGCATCAGGAGCAAACACTCTGGTAGCAAAGGCAGATGCACGCCGCATATCCGCTTCACGCTTTGTGGCGACAAGTCGCAGCGCCGCCTCGCTAGCACCAACGGCTGTGGCATACAAGAGCGTCACTGTCATACGCTCCCCGGGGACGGCAAAATCTTGCCAGCTCATACCAGCCTCACGGGGGACAAATAGTGAGGGTATAAACACCGGCCACCCACGAGATGACGTAGTCGAGGGTGTGTGTGGCAGCGGTATGGTCCGCGCGTACAATCCGTCGTTGCCGACACGTTGAATGCACACCGACACCACTGAAAAAGCGTGAAGTCCCTGTGGAAAACCGTGCAGCTGTTCCCCCGCATCTTCCGTCTCCGCCTTTCGTGCTTGCAACGCCTGATAGAGTTTTCCAGCAAGGACCTTCCTGGAAGCCGCGGCGGTGGAAATCGAAGAAGAGGAGAGGCCACCGAGTTGTCGCAATTGCTGAAGAAGGGCGGTGGGCCGTTGAGCCTCAACAATGCCCAACTCCGTGTTTACAACACTGCGCAGCTCCGCCTCGAGAAGCTTCTCGTCGGCCCCACTATCGGCAGATGTCAGCCGCACCTCGACAAGATCCCAGGGGTTCACCTTGACAAAGTTTGTCTGTGTGCGCAGCAGAACCGGTCGTCCTTTCCGTGTCAGCCCGGCGTCGACCTCGCAAGAAACCATGCGGCTACTGCCACCACCGCCGCTTCTGCCGCTGCCACCCTGTCGCTGTGGAAGAACAAACCCACGTAACACACTTCCTTGTGCCACCTCCTTCACCAACCGCCGTGTGAGTAAAACTTGTTTTAAAGCACGCTGAAGCGCCGCATTGGGCCCCACATGCACCACGTAGAGGTCTTTGGTTGTCGCAATCGAGAGCTGATGGACGCTGAGAAATTCGTTGGCGTCGTGAACGGTGGCAAAGCTCATCATCACGGCAAATCTACCAACGGCGTGGGCCCTGACACACGCCAGTGCCTTCGTAAAGGCCTCTCTGGTTTTAACGTCTTTGCTTCCAACATCTGCCGCACTTTCCACAGCAGCCGCCATATCACTGCGTGTGGCTCCTGGAAACGACAGAAGCTTCTCCTCGATGGTGACGCCCACGATGCCTTCCGCAACGAGTGAGCGCAGGTACGCCGTGTCAATGGTCTTCGGGGAGGTCACAAGCAGCTCCGTCCCGACGTGAACGACGGGGGGGAGGAAAGTTATGCCCCACCGCCGACCCATGGCCTCCACGTCGTTTTGCAGCTTTTCCGATGCGGAGAGGCGCTGGAACTGAACGATGACCTCCCCGCTGTGGAAGGCGTGATCCTCCTCAAAACGCGCCTCCTCAATGACGCCGTAGCCTGCAAACGTACGGAACAGCTCCGCCCGCAACACCGCGTCCTCAGGCTCGACTCCCCCCACGCGAACGCGGCGGCTGAGAGACGAACCCGCCTGCATCACCGTCGAGCAACTGCCGTAATCCGCAGCCCGCGTGACGACAAAAATGCCGGAGAGGCAAACAAAAAGTTCCCCGCACAACACACAAGAGAATAAGGTTTAAAAAAGAACACCAAGATAAAATAAGCTCAACACATATAAGGCAGCAAAAACAAACAGCATCAGGTCTCAACAGCATCAGCACCGAGAGACAGCAACGGGCTGCTACCAAAAATAAAAAATACAAAAAAAAACGACAAATAACGGCAATGGTTAGGATCCCTTCTCACCAAGGATAAGCAAACCCCCCTCTGCCGCCCACTTACGCGGAGGTGATGTCGGAGTCACCAACGTCCGTGATTGACAGAACACAGGTACGGAAGTGCCTGCCGCACGCCGTTCCAAGATCAAGGTTGTTCCCGGTATAGTGATGCATGGGCGTCTTGCTCAGTGTGCAGTAGTACTCAATCTCGGCCTTGCGGATGGGAGGGCAGTTGCTGGAGATCACCACAAGCTGACTGCGACCCTGGCGCAGAGTCTTGAGGGCCTGATGCGTGCCGAGCACGTACTTGCCAGACTTCATCACCAGCTGGATCTTCGTGTTGATCGTGTCCACCTTGGTCTTGCTCTTCTTGGCCATTGTGCTACGGGGATGAATCCTGCATATCAAACGCCAACATACATCCATATAGTATGCGTGCAATAAGGAAGAAAAAGAAAGGCACATGAGGCACATAATAACAGTAATTAAAACACGAGTGGCGAAAGGTGTGGCTTCACGGGCGGCAAATGAGACAACCCTCAGAAACCACGCCGTGGCTGTCGGAATGAAAATTGCAGTCAATGGAGGAAAAACAAAAACAAAATAAAAAGAAACATAAAAGAGCCTCTTCATTCATAAATGTTGTGCCCCTCTGCCGCCCACTTACGCGGAGGTGATGTCGGAGTCACCAACGTCCGTGATTGACAGAACACAGGTACGGAAGTGCCTGCCGCACGCCGTTCCAAGATCAAGGTTGTTCCCGGTATAGTGATGCATGGGCGTCTTGCTCAGTGTGCAGTAGTACTCAATCTCGGCCTTGCGGATGGGAGGGCAGTTGCTGGAGATCACCACAAGCTGACTGCGACCCTGGCGCAGAGTCTTGAGGGCCTGATGCGTGCCGAGCACGTACTTGCCAGACTTCATCACCAGCTGGATCTTCGTGTTGATCGTGTCCACCTTGGTCTTGCTCTTCTTGGCCATTGTGCTACGGGGGAAAAAAGGAAGGCTGTCAGAAATAATGAAAAACAAAAAAAAAATAGGGAAAAAGAGGTGTGACAAAACTAAGAAGGACAAACATGCAGGACTCCAGCAACGCCACTACAAGGCAACGCTTCCTCACTCCCCTCCCTTACACACACAGACGCCGTTATTGCATTGTGTGGGCCAATAGCGACCCAAAAACGGACAGAAACAAACAAGAAATACCGCGATTTCCCGCCGATCCAAACCATTTACAAAAACAAAACAAAACAAAACAAAACAAAACAAAAAAACTTCCTCAAGAAGGAATTAGAGACGCCTCATTTTTGATTCCGCTTCCAGAGAGTTTAGGGTAGTCAGTAAGCCCCGAGGAACATCTAAAACAAAACATATCTAAAGAGCATTTCTTCTTCATTTTTATTCATACTTATGTTTTTTTTCTTTTTTTCTTTTGCTTCTTTTCGCCTTGACTTCTGGATTTCATTTATGCTTGTTTGTATTTGTGGCGAAGGCCACTGTACCGGTGAAATAAAGAGGGGGATGGAGGGGGCGCAGACACCGCCGTGACGGTGGTGCTTGCGATGACTACGGCCACTAATGATAACATTTGCATGCATATTTGCGGACGGTCAATAAAAAGCGTGGGCCAAAGAGACAGGGAGGAGCATGAAACATATAACCCCCTTGGCACAGCAGCTGAAAGCTGCGGCGCACGGCCCCCTCCGTGCCAGCGTCCCATCACATACACAGACAGTGGGAAAAAGAGGGGGAAAAAATACACATGACAAAAAAAAAAAAAAAGAAAAAGAAACATGACCGCAACACGCCCACATACACA